TCACGGCAGCTCTGTTGAAAGTCCCACACACAGTCGCAACTGGACTCAAGATGTGTATGGTCTGTGGAATATAGTTCAAGAGAGAATGCAGTAGTGTGTGTAGCCATTTTGTGTGTACAAGCCATCTATTCAAAAATCACGGGTGCTAGAATCAAGGATCATTCTTGTCACAATGATTCGGATTATAAATCCACTTTCAAAAACATGGGACAGTGAAATCACAACCATGCCACTCCACACCAGGGACAAAGGCTGGGCTGGACACCAGGACTTAACACGCTGGAAAAACTTGGCAAAAACCTTTCAGACTGCAGCCAAAAAATCTATAAAACACTGTGCTGCGCGTCTAAATGGATTTTTGGCTTGTTTGTACGTTGTGAAACATTCTTGATCCCAATCAAAGCACCGCAAATAAACAAGGAATTGGAATAGAGCTGAGCGCAAGCAATCAGCAGAGTGAGGCTAATGCACACGTTTAAATGGGAATATCATTTGTAAAAGGCTGAATATAGAATAATGCGTACAGCTGTGAAGACAAGAACACAAACTATTTTCTAACAAGCACCTGTCAAGCCAGAGACCCTCTCATGGATACACTGTGCTTGTCCCATCATGAAGTCTTGTTTAAGTCACATCACGAGCAAATCAAACATCAAAATGCCGTCTTTGCCGTCTTACTAGAAACATTGCATCTTTTGCGTTCTGAAAGTGAGCAAGCCCCTCTCTTCCCTTTTCTCTCTGAAAAATATGATTTAAAGATGTGACAGAGGAAAAAAATGCATGCATGTGAAAATTATTGATAGAAGCAAACTGTTACGAGAGCGGGAAACTAGGCTACGTCCCTGCAATGCTTAAGTCCAGGTTGAAACTTATTTAGCTGTGCATCTGACACATTTGGTATCATTTTTAACTGCATTTTGAATACAATGTATGCGTTTTTGTTAAATATCTGCTTTTAATTCAAAAGTAGTATTTTGGCTTGTGAAGCACTTTGGGTTGCACTGTAAGACTTGTGCAAAATAAAAAAAACATTTGATAAACTGGATTTTTCTAACTGTAGAGTGTTTTTTGTGGTTTCAAAGTTGGGCAGCTCAACTACAGTCCATTCTGTTTTCTGATCGGGATTAAGAAAAAGTAACCTTGATATTAGTGATATTGGAACTTTAAACTTATTTGTCATCTCACACAGCCTACTGCGTACGTTGAAATAAAATATTTTAGATATTATTGAAGATTTAATCACTAATCCCTTATATCCTTCAATGGTATTTTCAATTTTTTACGTTCTTTATAATCTCAAGTTTGTTTTTTGCAGTCAGTAATTTTTAGATTTTGAATAAAACTATACCTCCCTCTGGATGTTTATATTTTCTCAACTTAAATTTTCTACGGACAATATCATTTCACATTCAATAACCTCAATGACAAAAGAATAGTTTCATTATAATTGTAATGGCGTGAAATGAAACTCAATATTGATTCTTTAAAGCTTTGAGACCACAGCACATTTAGTAATGTATTAGCTTGTGTAAGAGCTTCAGATCAGCTTTTTCAGACAAAAAAGGGAAACAGAGGATCACCCTCACTCTGGAAATTCAGCTCTCAACCCAAAGAGACAAAAAGAGACTTGCATGGATCTTTCTTACAGGTATGCAGCAGATAACATGTTTTTATATGATCCATCCATCTTCTACCCTTTAATCCATTTCTGGGTCAGGGGGGTGACAATCAGAGATGCCACCCAAGTCTCATAGCACCAGCCCCTCACTGACCCTCTGCAGGTGGTGAGTCCACAGGAGGATGGCTGCTCTCTGAGTGTGAGCATAGCCTTGATCTTTCAGTGGGGGCTTTGGGCAAAGTGGGGTTAAGTGTCTTGCCCAAGGACACAACGACAGCAGTCATCAGTGGGAGTTGGTGGAGAAGGTGTAGAGTATTGCTTTAACTCTAAACTAATGATTATTGCTTTAACTCTAAACTAAACTCATAAATTCCATCCTTGTCCTATTTAAAGTCTCAGCTCATATGACTACCACCTTTTGTTATCTTGCGAACACAGCACTTTTTCATTTCTATTAAACGAAAGTCAATGAAATGATAAGGAATTGAATTAGCTCCAACACGCTGGAACATTCGCTTCTTCTGCCAAAAATGTTAAGAAAATCTTGTATTTCATCTTTACTGATTCACGAGCTACATTTTGAGCTCCCACAGCAGAGATTTTGTAGCACTATCTCCCCCATCGACTGGCCAGCAGAGTGCGAAACATTGAATTGTTCTGTTAACAGGAGACAACAGGGAGAGGTGGGACCCACATCGGCACATCGGACCAACATTGGCTTGTGCAACGAAGCCCGCCAAGCCTTAATTGAATTGATAGGGAGCGTCGAGGGAGAAGCTGCAACAGAAAATTAGGTAGTCTGGCCTGCACAAAAAAAGTGCAAAATACAAAATGGGAAAGTCAGCAGGCTAATAGGGGATCCACAGCTCCATAGTGAAGGCTAGAATGAGAAAGAGCTGTGGAATGACACTGGGGGAGGAAGCAACAGGCTGGGTTCAGACCTGTACCACTCCGTAGGTCACATCGAAGTGCACGATAGAATGCTTAAAGCTGGGGTACCCAACTTTGAATCCACAAAAAAATATCTATGTCACTACTTCCTTCCTCTTAAAACTGTTTGGTTCTATCAATAGTTTTCACATGACTGTATTTGTCACATTTTTGGATCAGCTTTGTCAGGGAGACAATTGAAAGAGGACCAATCTTTTCCCAGCCCCAGTTGGTGTAAAATCTGTTGTGTTATATCTTGTGTTTCTGTGTTTTTATGTATTTTTATATTTTTCTTTTGAATCCATTATATGTGGAGGTTTCACCTGACTCAAATAAATTCAAATTTTGGCTCAAGTTAATATAATATAATCCAAATTTCGTCTGCAGAGCGCCACCGAGCAGTCATCAAAGTGGCGGGAACAAGAGGAGTAAAGGAGGAGCTCTGAAACTGTTTTCTATCATAACATTGTTTTAGCTGAATTTAATTGAATTATTTGAATATTTTTGCATAACCCAAAATCACAACAGCAACAGGATGACGGACGTTCATTTTATTTATTTTTTATTTTTTTGAGAAATGTCTTTAAATGTCCTGTATCATCACTGTCCTTAGACACCCCTGCATCGGCAAGGAACGACTCAAAAAAAAAGAGTCCCGTGAGAAAAAAGTGAAAAAAACCTTCGGGAGGTCCTTACTGAGAGGGGTATTTGCTCCAACGGACGGCCAGGCTATAGATTCAGGATTCAGGCTTTGAGTTGCTGAGGTCATACATCATATTATAGAGAACCGAATTGGGTTTTACCTCATTAATTTGTCTCTTCACACACGGATAAAACATACATAAAAAAGTCTTCCAATTGTATGCTGAAAATGTAATACTAAAACTGCCATAAAGTTCGGTTGATCATTGGCCTTCGCAAAAGAAATCCATTCACTCAGTGCACTGTTAAAACATGTCGACATTATCCAATCTCAAACGTGTGATTGTCAATTGAAAAAAACCGTTAACACCACCCGAGGAAAACCGAAAATTGCAATAGTCGGCCTGTAAATTGAGTTACAAAAGCTGAGCCCTCATTTTACATTCCAACATCAAATACTTAAATCACAGCATAAATATGACACAGCACAAGGAAAGTAGGAACAAGATTGCGGGGTTAACAAAGCCAGGAAATACAAGCAGTGGGACAGAATAATTAGAGTGAGTGAGCGTTCCACCCGAAAGAGGGATGATTCCCTTAGTAAATAATGAAGCCGAAAGAAAAACAAGGAAATTAATGGAACCTAATGAAAACAAAAAGAGCAGGAGAGCAGACTGGGAGCAGAGTGATAGTGGAGTTCTTGCTGCAATTAATGTCTGCAGGAAAAAAATAAATGAACGGAAAAAGTAGCAGTGGGGCGATGAATGCAACCTACTCAAAAAGAGGTCACAAAGTTCTCACAGGGTTACAGCTTTTCTCCCTAGAGACTTTTCGCAATACGGAAAGGGCATCGAGTTATAACTCTTGTGGCGCAAGAGCATGGAGACATTTTTGACTTAATTTTCAAATATGGCTATGCTTGAAAAACCGGATTACCGTCTTCCTCAGACCAACCTGGGCTCCCTGTGCTCAAAACATAGTCAGAGGAGGTCACTAAATGCCTTGGAGGAGACGCAGCATCCGCTACATGCAGAGTTTCAGCTCCTTACTTCAGGATCTCAGACTGTATATATAGGTCAGGTGTGTCCAGACATTTTAGTCAGAGGGCTACTTTAGTTCACCAGACTTGTACAGGGTTAGCCGATTCCCCAGATTGTAATACTGTTTTGACTGGATTCAGGGTGTTTTAAGCTTTAAAATTATCTATAACAAAGCTGAAGTTGGCTGAACCTTTTATCATCTCACCAGCTATATCTGCTGGCTGAATTTTGTGGTGACATCAAAAACACATGTCAGCATAACAAAGGCTGAATTCTAGAGGTCCTGAGTGCTACAATGACGTATAACATGCCCGTATAGGCTGAGCTTAAGTTGGCTGAACGACACTGAACTGGCGGTAATGATCTCACAGAATACTTTAAGTTGGGAAGGGTGTTTGGACATGCCTGCTATGTGTGGAAAATGCTAACACCCTAGCTCAATGAAAGCCAATAGGGAAGGACTCAAGGACAATGTTTTGCAATTATCACAATTATAACATAAATTTCACTTTACATGTAATGAGTCTGTCAAATGTTACTTGAATTACAATTTACTTTCTGTTTTTGAGTGTTGTTTTTTTGGTGAATAGATTTTGGTTGACTGGTACAGTATGTCATTGACTGAGAGCCCCAATCTTCACAGTGTACAAATGAAAATGCACAAGGCCTTTATTTGAATTCACACGGATGAAGAAGAGTGGGATATCAGGCCTGAGTCGACTTTGACAGTTGAGCCATTGGGATTCGCCCGGGTCTATTTGATGTCTTACCTTAATGAGATCTCCGAGCAGCTTGTTGGCTTCGGCGTAGGCCTTTTTCACCGCCTTGAACTTGTTCCCCAGTCCCATACTGTGTGCCTGCAAGAAACAGCAGCGTGAGGAGAGCAGCGGAGAAGGAGCACAGAAATATAACACTATTTCGGATAAACACAAGATGGCCGCTTCAGCACAAAGCTGTGATTTAAGGGACTAATTTGCCTAGTGACACCTGCGGTTTGTTTAATTTACACTGAGGATGCTCGTCTCCGAGAGTTAGTGAGAAAAGAAATCTGCTGCATCTGGCTTTTTTAAACCCGGCCAGAAATAAACAGGTCAGTGAGAGAGAGGAAAGAGGACCAACTGTTCTTTTTCTTAAACAAAGGAACAGCCCAAAGTGCATTCTATCAGCGTCAATATGATGAGTGATTATGAATGGGAGCAGTAGACTTGTTTAATTTGTGCCAAAAGGCCTGTGCAAAGATACTGAATCGTATGAAATGGGGGGAGAAACTAAATGTCTTGCGCACACTGGGGATTTTGAACATTTGTGGCAGAATGTGATTATTACTGCAAATGGCCAATAAAATAAATCTGGATTTTAAAAATCTAGGTATACAAAGAGCAGCACATGGATATATGGCAGTACATACAGTACGAGGGAATTTAAGGAATTACTTATTGATATAATAATGGTTTTGCTTGTTATTTTTGTTATGTACATACAAAATCTTGTACACTTTTGTTTAAAGCTGGGGTACGCCACTTTTAAGCACAAAAAAAAAAAAATCTAGATTTTTGGCCTTTTTCACATCTTTTTTTTCAGGTGGAAAGTGAAAACTTTAGAGGACCACCCTCACTCAGGTCTCAGCCCAAAACCTCAAATAGTGACAGGTGAAGAATTAGAACATATGAAATTAATCTTTCCTTTTGGCTGATGTTTATTGTATGATAAAAAAAATCTTTCCTAATAAAAAACATTCTAAATCAAATTACAGGGCTCATTCTTACTAGTATGCAAACATGTTTTCAAATAGGATGCAGATACAATGAATAAGATAATGCAGCAACAATTTACTTTTACAAGACTTTCCGTTGAAACAGAAATTACGTAACCCAGCTTTAAAGCAGGAAACTGTTGCCACCTTACTGGCTTAATGACATCATACTGACAAGGGTGCTCTTTTACAATTTTCTTTCCTGTGTCGTCTTACAGTACACGGTTTTATGAGGGGAAAATCTCATCTAAACGCTCCTTTAGGATTCATAGAAGGTAATAAAATTGCGGCGCGTGCAAACGTGCAGTGCGGCCGCGCCCGGGATGAGTTATATCAGCCGTAAATTGTTTCATAACCAGAGCATCACTAATCCTACATCCGGTGGAGCCCAGTGTGATGAAGAACCCACATTATGCGTTTGAATCAGTCCCCGGCGTTCGACACGAGAGACGTTGGAGTACCTGGAAGTGCAGGTTGGTGTACTGGCCTCCGGGGATCTCGTTTTCGTACACGTCGGCGTTCCCAGATTTCATGGTGGCCGTGCAGTCGAAGGGAGCGTACAAGCCGCGCGCCACCTCCCAGTACTCGCTGTAGTCAAAGACCTTCTCCAGAGCGATGCCTGGAAAGCATAAAATATTTCAAATACATTGCACAGTTATGGGTGTGCAGAAATTATAGTCTTTCCTTTGCCCTGGGTGGCAAAAGGCAGGTGAACAAACCAAGATTGCTAGCGAGAATTCAGAGCTATTTATTAGTTTTAGTACAGAGTGAGAAAATGCTGTGGGTAAATAATAGTTGTTATTCTCAAGAGATGTTTTAATAATTACGGTCACTGGACATGTCACACTTAAAAGAAACAATGTTTTTGCTCCACAAAATTCTTACATTTGCAGTTTAAAAACACATTTCAAAACCCAGTGTGTACCAGAGACAACAGTTTACTAAGTGTGGAGATCTAACACACTACTGCAACCAGTAGGACTGATGTAAAAAAGTGTGATTTAAAGAAGAAATACTTATAGAGGCTGATAATATGGTGGCGACATAACATTTGTCTGTCTCTCTGACATTTGTTCTTATTTTGAGCTCTCCATAACGCTAAGGTGAGCTCTATCAGAGTCTGGACCAATAGAGCAATGTCAAGTTAACTTTCTTGTGATTAGCATTTATTGTATTTAATCATTAGTGTCCTTTGCTGTCCTGGACTTGTCCGTGTGTGGTTTGTGTAGGTAAAGAAATATTATTAATTATATGTGCCAATTAAATATGATCATGAGACTTTATATTGTCATTTCATGTTATAGAATGTGACATCTTATAATAGTAAAAAAATAGTATTTTACAGTAAGTAGAAAATATATAGTGACATATGAAGGGAGGATTGCTTTTTTGTTGGTTTTCAAACCTGGGAAACTTTAAAAGGCAGAAGACTCCGCCGTGTGACGCCCTAGTGGCACAAAGGCCTCACATACCAATGCATACACGGAACATCACACACTGCCTCTCGAAGTCTCCGTTCAACCACCTCCTCTCACTGCCTGCACCAACCCAGGACCAAACTCTCTACCATGGGAGACAGGGCCTTTCAGGCAGTAGCCCCCCGGCTCTGGAATGCCCTCCCAGAGACCCTCAGGGCCCCAAAAAGACCTTAAGACATTTTTATTCAAACAGGCCTTCTAGAAGTGTAGCTATGTTTTTATGTGTTCATGATGGTGTCTATTTGATGTTTTGTAAATGTATAATTTTGTGTATTCTTGGGGATGTTCCCTGTTCTGTAGCACTCTGAGATTTCATTGAAATGTAAAGTGCATTATTAATAAAATGTATTATTATTATTTTTAAAGGCATCATACTATGCATACATGCAAACAAGCCTTGGCTATAAATGTTGTAGTGTTTCACATGTTGATTGTGTACACTTGTCCCTATCAAATAAATACATAAATAAAATACTATTACAGGACTTAGACAGGAGCTTTTAGGCTGAAGGGCTGGAGTTACATGTTTGAGCCACAAGTTCTATGTGTTGGGATGAATGGACCAAAGACTGTATATACTGTATGTATGTAGATGGACAATGTAAACCCCCTAGCTCAATAGGGAAGTACTTATGGACAAAATTTTACTCCAACTCGTAGCTCCAATTGATAGAACTTTGCTAGCTCAGTAACCGTTTGTCACATTCACCTTTTTGAAATGGAAATGAAATAACAATGCTTTATGTTATGCAGGCCATTTAAAAATACTGCAATATAAAAAATACTACTCCCTGTTGAATTCTCTTAATCAATGCAAATTTAAGCCCCTTTAAGTAAATTATGACAGCTTCGGGTTGGGGTTAGCAGCACAATATGAAATACTCAAGATTGTGTTCGACATATCATTCATGACACAGAAGCCATATTGTACTTTTTTCAAGTCTACCAAATCGGTAATGGTCACAGCCTGCAAATTCCACCAGCGGGAAAATGTCATGTATTTTTGTATTCATTTTTCAAAACTCAGCAGGAGAAAGGCCATAATTCCAAGCATGACTATTCGACCGGACCAAATTCTCACTGCTGAAATTTTTATGAAGGAAGAAATTTGGGGTTAAAAATGGGCAGCTTGCCAGTATAATTCTGCATTTTAAGAAACGCAGACAAAATCCACTTGAGAATTCGGTCAACGTTTGTCAGACTCATTAAAACTGTGCCTTGTCTGCTGAGGATGGTAAGGTGCTAAAGATGATTACTTAAATCATCCTAATCCCAGGACCAAAATGGCAATGCGGCAGAAATTATGACAAATATCAACTATGCTAATTACACTAATGTGACAAAGTTAGCCTCAAAACGACATAGGGATAATATAGTGTGTTTTGGTGGCTCTTTAAAGCTGGGGTACCTAATAAACAAACCACTGCAAATGGAACTATGAAACCCATGTAACTTGTTCTTCACTAAAGAACAGCTTGCTTCTATCACTAGTTTCCATATGCATTCATCTTTTGGTCTCTGTCACATTTTTAGATCAGCTTTTTCAATCAGAAAAGAGGACGCTTTTTCTGTTGGGACAGACACAATCTGCTATTTATGAAAAACGTTAGATAACACAGCTTTAATATGTTTATGGGCTGCAAGTTAAAGCTGCACTAATTCACTTTGTTAAATTTTCGAATGTGAGCGCTGGCCTCGCTCTTTCTGCTCCCCCTCCCCGCACTCAGGGAGCTTTCGCCCCCCACTACCCCCCTCCTCCTCAGCCGCACATGTGCCGTTTACGCAGCTCACTTCTCACAATACTTGATACGTATTTGAACGTGGATGGCGTGACCATAGAATCTTCTCTTCCTTGTTGCACGAAAACTTGATCAAATAAAATGACAGTCCAGCACAAACCAGCGCTACTTATTCTTCAAAAGGACGCACTGTATATCCCAATGCATTGCATGGATATGGATTGAATTTTCGTAATGAATACAAAAATAAAGTGAGGTATTGCAGCTTTAAGTTCCTCCACAACTCTATTAAAGAAATTACTTTTAGTCATGCTACTATGTACGTCTGCTGCTGCTGCTAGCGTCCAATATTATTATAACAATGCTACTTGGGCTGTTGACAAATAGTGGACAAGACAAATACTACTAAAAACAATTATTTTGACATTGATTGGGTTAGATTTTAAATTCCAAAATATTCTGCCATTACCCTCCAAATCTTTTTGTTTTCAAATTCTAGAAAGACATGCTGAAGGACCTAAATTTAGATTATTTTATAAATGCATTGTGTTTGTTCCAACACTCAGAGCTGAATTGCCTCTCCGTTTCACTTTTCTGTCTGAAAAAGGAAAAAGATGAGAGGCCAAAATGCATGCAGTGAAAATCTTATATCATAGTTGATCTCTTTGTGGTTTCGAAGTTAGGCACTTAAGCTTATCGACAACATAACACATTGAAAGCCCCATAGAGGCTGCAATTGTAAAACACAATAAATCTATTCCTGACCCAGTAATGCTTCCCAAACTGGTGTTGTAGGCGCTTCATATTTCCTCCTCTGGCTGTTATCTTGTCGAGACCAACGTTGGAGCGGTGAAATTAATGACAAATTAATGTGCATGTTGTAGTGAGGATGCTTCCATAGGCTTCCACCCCAGTCGGTAATTAGGACCCATTCAGTTCTCAGTTTGACAGCACACTCCTCTATCCTTCATTTAGGACCTCCTTGGTGAAATTAGAGCCGATATCAGCGTGAGACGTGCACGAGCGTGTTGTTGTACTGCTGTGTGAGCCCTCATCAGCTTGCATCGAGATCATTTGCAGGCAAAACAAACAGGAAATTGAGTGAAAATGCAAGACTTCTGCTCTCAAACCGACTGCCAATAAAGCTCTGCTCCCCGCTGACATAGCACAGCCCTCTACCTTTACCTTTTCATGAATATTAAGCACCGAACATTCTTTCACAAACAAACCATCTCACAAAGTTCGACTAACTCCCTTCACTGCAAAGGAGATTTGGATGGATTTTCACTGGAGTCACCCCATGTCATTGTGAGACAAGTCCCAGTGGCACAGGAAATACAAATTTACAATTACTATTTGTATTGTTGGGAGAAAGGTACTCCAGCTTTAATACCCAAACTTTGAAACCAAAAGAAAAAAATAACCGTAATAAAATCCATGTAGTTCTTAGCTCTGAAAACAGCTATCACTGGTTTTCGCAGGTATGTCGTTTTTAGCTTCTTACACTTATATAGATCAGCTTTTTCAGACGTATAAAAGAAAAAAGCAATCGGCTCTCAGCCCAAACAAGTCAAATAGTGACTCCCAGGGCCTTTACAAGCGTGCAAAAGTTGACAAGTTTTCTAAAAAAATGAAGGCCGCATGTGATGGTCCATCCATCCATCCATTTTCTACCCTTTAATCCATTTCTGGGTCAGGGGGGTGGCAGTCAGAGATGCCACCCAAGTCTCATAGCACCAGCCCCTCACTGACCCTCTGCAGGTGGTGAGTCCACAGGAGGACGGCTGCTCTCTGAGTGTGAGCATAGCCTTGATCTTTCATGTGATGGTCTGATTAAAATCATTCAATCTAATTTTGTTGGGACAATGTGTTCATAAAACCAAAAAGCTGTGGTACTCGAGCTGTAATTGATCCATGGTTGACCAATTTTATTTCAATTAAAAGAATGTCTATCTGAAACCAGTAGAAATAACATGAATTATGAGGAAAAATGGCTGTTGGAATTTGTTATTTGAGCCAGATCCAACCCAATTCACATGCTTATACACTACATTTTATTCATCACTAAATATTTGTTGAAGCTAGAATGAGTATTTGCCACGCCCCCTCTTAAGTCTGTAAATAGTAGTCCAGTGAGAGAGGTTGGCGGTCCAATCACGGCTATCAGAAGCATGTAGCCATCTGGCGCCTGTAGTTCTGACTGCGGAAATGTAAATACACAGTAGAGTCAAAAATGCCTGTAGAACCTGGTCCAAAACATTGCCTGGTTCAAATTACGGCTCTTTGCCCAATGCTAAGTTCCACTCGTGTCAGTGCTGTGGAGGGTGCCAGGTCGGTTTACCCGCCGAAACTGCCACAATTTGCTGAAAACACTTTTTATATCCAGTTTTCCTACAGGAGGG